CAGCCAGGAGGTGGCCAGGAACCCACTCAGGGTCACCTCAGTAAGCAAGAGATGCTTGTAGTGCCTGGTCACTTAAGAAATGACAGGGTTTTCGGGAATTCTGTGCCAGGAGTGAGGGTGTGCAGACTGATATGTATATTTCATAGTATTTCACCACAAGTAGTGAGAATGTAACAAATTGGGCAGCACGGTTCATGAGGTAGTGGATTTGTTGTTTCCAGTGAGCACACACGTTTCGAATATTGGCAAAAACTTGATCGTATGCTGGGCGTAAAGGCTAGGAGCCTCAACCCATTTCAGGAAATTGGGAGCACCCAGAGCACATTTTCTGAGCATAATACCCTCGACAACTAAAAGAAAACTAGAAAAACTCCATACACTTGACACTTGAAAAACACTCCTGAAATCTTGAGTCAAAGAAGAAATGATGACGCGAACCAAAAATGTTGAGAACCAAAAACAGTAAGGTAGATAGACTTATTTCAGAATTCGTGGGGCACCTGAAATGACAGTGTGAAGGGAAGTGACAGCTTTTCGGTGTTTACATTCGTAGCATTCTAAAATGCCTGCCACCCAAATAAAGTGGAAGAAATAAAATACGGATAGGAACAGAAATCCATGCATTAGAACAGACACACGATCATATCCACAAAGACAGATGTTGGTAATTCGAAAGCGTAATAAAACAGACAAATTCCCTGGCAAGATTAATTTAAAAAAAAAAGAGGGGGCGCCTGGGTGGCTCAGTTGGTTAAGCATCTGACTCTTGATCTCAACTCAAGTCTCGATCTCTGGGTTTGAGTTAAAGCCCCACACTGGGCGTGGAGCCTTCCTAAAATAGTAAGAGGAAAGGCACAGACACTATGAGGAGTGAACCACAGGAACATAACTGCCAAGAATTCCCGTGGAGTGAGAGGCTGTTTGATCAACTCTGTTCTTACAAAACCCGAAAACTTAAAGAGGATAACTTTAGAAGGAAAACTTAGCAGAGCTGGCCAAAGAACAATAGAAAAACCCCAAGGTAGGGATCGTGCTATAATCATTAAAGGCATTGAGTCAGGGCTCAAAAATCCTCCCCACCCAGTGATCCACCCAGAGGGCTTTACCTGGCAAATTCTAACACATTCAAGAAACAATTCCACCTTTGTACAGACTCCTTCAGAGGGTAGGAAAGTGGGGAGTGTCCCTCCTGGTTTTATGAGATGAGCATCACCTTACCACCAAAACCAGACGGGACATACCATGTGAGAACAGACCTGCCAGGCCACCGCTAGCTACGACCACAGACGCAAAAAGCCAAGACACAATTGCAAATCCAAACGGAAAAATATACAGACGATACAGTACATGATGAGAAGCTTTGTTCACAAGCAACAGGTCCTTAGAAGACGTATTCATGTACCACATCACAGACCAAAAGAGAAAAACTGTGCTGTCATCTTAATAGGGCCAGAAACCGGTTGGCAGAATTCATCAGCCGTTCATGGCAAAAGTCCTAGCAAAGTTGGAGTGATGAGGATTTTCCATGACCTGATAAAGGGCTTCCAGAAGGAAGAAAGCCTGCAAGTGGTAAATGCAATTGTTTTAATTTAAATTGTTGAAAATGGATCCTGAAGAGTGAGACAGAGACACTGATTTTGCACACTCATGCTTTACGTTGGGACTGGTGACCCCAGCCCAGTGAAGTAGGAAAAGAAAAGAAAAGAAAAAGTATAAGGACTGGGGAAAATTAGACCATCATCATTTGCCAGTGATACCATCATGTACATAGACTATCCAAAAACTCACATAACTCTGTTAGAATCAAGAGGTATAAGAATCCTTAGAATAAATGATTTGCATTAATTTTAATTATTAGGTGAGAGTTTAGTAAGATTGCAGGCTGCAAGAATCAGTGTATAAAATTAAGTTTTTTCTGTATACAATAAATGAATAAAAATGAAAATTTAAAAATATACCAGTCTTGGGGCACCTGTGGCTCAGTCAATGGTTAACCATCTGAGCCTTTGGCTCAGGTCATGATCCCAGGCTCCTGAGATCAAACCCTGCATCAGGCTCCCTGATCAGCCGGGAGCCTGCTTCTTCTCCCTCTGCTGCTCCCCCTTCTTTTCTGCTTGCTCTCTGAGATAAAATCTTTAAAAATATATATAATATATATATGTGTGTGTGTGTGTGTGTGTGTGTGTATGTATGTATATATATATATATACATACACACACTTCAGTCCTTAGAAATAGGTATTACAGAAGTTATACAAATGAATCCCTTATAGAAATAAAAGATTAAAATAAGATTTTCACTGACATCTTTCACTTCAAATCATTCATTTAAAGAAGGACTTAAGTGAAAGGAGAGATGTCCTGTGACTTTGGTTTTTCAGAAGACTTGCTGTTAGAGTGACAAGAACTTACTTCAAACTGATCTGAGATTCAGTGCAATTCTGACCAAAATACCAGCAAGGTTTTTGTTTTTTTAATTTAAAAATTTTTTAAGTTTAATTTATTTATTTGACAGAAAGAGAGAGCAGTAGCAGGCAGAAGGAGAAAGAGAAGCAGGCTTCATGCTCACCAGGGAGCCCAATGTGGAGCTCGATCCCAGAACCCTGGGATCATGACCTGAGTGGAAGGCAGGTGCTTAACCAACCGAGCCACCCAGGCTCCTGCCCCCCACCTCAAGGTTTTCTTTTCTTATTTTCTTTTTCATTTTTTTTTAACTTGACATGATTTTAAAATGATTATGGAAGAGCAAAGGGCTGGAAATAGCCATGATATGCCCGAGGAACAAGATCGAGGTATCAGGTACCAGAGAGCCATTTTTATTATGATAAGAATATCCATGAGGACAATCCAGAAAGCCCAGGGGTGAAAACAGAGGGGTCAGTGGATCCGAAGGGAGAGCCCAGGAATGAATCTGTGAAGCCAGGACTTGTGGTGGAGGCGGCAGTGTGTGCAGGTCCATGGGAAGAGAGTGGTAGGACGACTCGGGGTAGGAAAGCATGAGATCGAATGTGTATTTTGTGCCATATGCAAAAATCAGTTGCTAATGGGGCAAACGCATGAATGTGCAAGGCCAACTGTAGATCTTTTGGATGTTGCTATAGGGGAAGATGGTTGAGGTGTAGGGAAACCTTTCCTAAAGGTCAGGAAAAGCACAAATTACAAAGGAAAATACTGATAGGTTGCACCCTGCCCAATTTCAGATAATGTCTGCTCATCAAAAGTTACTTTAATTAAAAAAATTTTTTCTTTTTAATTTTTAAAAGATTTTATTTATCCATTCGAGAGAGAGAGAGCAGGAGGGAGAGCTCAAGCAGAGGAGGGGGCAGAGGGGGAAGCAGACTTCCCGCCAAGCAGGGAGCCCAATGTGGGACTGGAGTCCAATGTGGACCCTAGGATCATGACCCGAGCTGAAGGCAGCTGCTTAACCAACTGAGCCACCCGGGTGCCCCCAAAATCTACTTTAAGGAGAGAAAAGAAAAGCCACAAATTGGGAGGTAGTTTCCTTGCTTTTGCAACCCAAGTAAAACCCTATTCTCACCTATTGATGAGAACTCTCAAATCAAGAAGAGAAAGATAAACACCCAAAGGAAGGCAGAGAAAGATTGGGATAGGTGCGAATCACAGAAGACCCGCAAACAAATGACAAGAAGCACGGCCTCATTAAGGAACAATGAAATGCAAATCAAAACAGCCAGGTGACCTTGCACCCGCCAGATTGTAATGTGTCAGAAAGTGAGTAGAAGGCCTTACTGAGGTGAGGGGCCAGTTGCTGGAGTGCCAGGACTTGTGTGCACACAGCATAAGGCACAACCGCGCAGAGACCACGCCGGGGTCACCCGGCAGAGGGGAAGGAAGGTTCTCACTGGTACCAGTGCGCAGGACAGGAGAAGAAAGAACAGCACGACCAAAGCAAAACCAAGCCAGTACCTTCAGCAGACTGACCAGCTGTGGTTCCTCCCCGCCCAACCCCCGCTAGACTGGAAGGTTCTAGAGCAGGAAAAGGGAACAGGTTTCAGCAGCATGTCAACACAGCTGAAATCTCCCATATCAAGTGCGCTGTGAGCAAAGCCGGTCGCACAGAATGTGTGCAGTGTTTCTATTTGTGTAAAGTGAAAAAAGTGGCACAGCTGATCAGTAGTGTCTCAAGGTACCTCTGCAGGGTAGAACCAGAGGAAAGATCAAGGGGGCGCTAACACAAAGGAAAGATTGGGCTGACAGGCGACATGGAGTGTGGGGAGGCCCTTCTGCTACTTGAAAGGCAGTGGTGACCTTTAAACACTGGCTGTGACCGTCCTCAAAGGCGAAGCACGCTTGGGGCGTGTACGCACTTAGCCTGAGTAAGGCCCCCATCTACGTGTGACAGATGAAAGGTACACACAGCTGGATGGATGCCGCCCGTTAGGTGTGCTCACACGTCCCTGTTATACTCTCTTAAAAAAGGCCAGTCGTGACCCCATAAACTGGTTCGTCACTCACTGGCTGAAAACACCGGCTATGCACATAGGCGTTTGTTTACTGTTCCCTCACACGGTCCTCATCTGTTTCATTCACCCTCTATCAAAAGCAGAAACCACTCAAAGCAGTGGGGGACGGGGCGCATCCAGGGCCCACGACTGCAGCGGCGGATGCCTGGGCAGGGCTCGCTCTGCGGAGGAGGCCGGTGGACTCTGGGGAGGCGGGTTTGAACGTGGCTCGGAGCTCTGTGCGAGACCACGTGTAGCAGCCACTTGGGAACGTTCTCAGCTGTGTGCTGTCTGGTACCTTCCCAGTAGTCTGGGCCCAGCACACCCCGCCCCGGGGTGGGAACCCCCATGGCTGTCAGCCCCGGCCTTCGGCTCAGTCCAGCTTTGCAGGCCTGGGACAGCAGCCTTAGGGTAGCTGCCTGTCCTGACATGGGGCAGACCTGGATGTGGCTCACGTGGCCCCGTATCCTTTCCTTTCTCACCCCAGCTGCCCAGAACTTTCTGAGGACGTACCTGAGCCTACTCTGCCTTCCACAGGTGCCAAGCCAGCTGCCTCTGTTGACCCGTGGGGTGTGCCCACTGGCGCCAGCACACACTCCGGCCCGAAGGGCTCAGACCCCTGGGCGGCCCCGCAGCAGCCTGCCCCGAGGGCTGGGAAGACAGCGGACGCCTGGGCTGCAGCCTCGGCCACCAAGCCCGTCTCATCCTCTGGTGAGAGAGACCTCGCTCTGCACGGGCTCTGAGAGCCCCTTTGGACACACTGCTGGCCCCTGTCCTGGCTCCTCGGCATGGGACCCATGGTGGCCTGCTCTTGCTACCTTTGTCTCTGCGGCCTTTGTCCCCAGCCTCCCCCCCAACCACCACCAGTGCCATAAGCCCACTGTGAAGAGTGAGCCCACAGGCCCTCGGGGCACCTGAACCGCCATCCAGAGGGACTTCCCTAGGGCACCTGGGCAGGCTGCGCTCTAGGTACTCCTTCCAGTAGCTTCCTATGGGGGCCATCCACATTGCCAAACCCGGCTCAGAAGTCTCTCCCCACTGCATGAGCCCCTCCTTCAGTTTGGGGTGGGGCAGGTGGGAGCAGGGGCAGGCAGACGCCCCCATGCCGGGTTGTGGGAGGCCAGGATTCTTGGCTCGGCCCCTGCCCAAACCAGCCGGTGACCCTGAGCTGCCCTCTGGCTCTCAGTTCTCCCCCAGGAGCGGGGCTAGCGATCCCTCCCCTGACTGCCACCAGCAGCCCTAGGTTGTAGACCGGGACGCAGAATCAGGGGGAACTACACCGCAGTCACCAGCCTCTTGTGTTCCCCCAGGGGCCTTTGATCTCTTCAGTAATCTGAATGGTACCATTAAAGATGACTTTTCTGAATTTGACAACCTCCGGACTTCAAAAAAAACAGGTATGTGAAGGTGGTGGTTGTTTCTATAACGTTCTGTGCATTTGACCAGTCCAGCTATGGCAGAAATAATCAGCTTTCAGAACCTCTCAACTTCGCGCGTTTTCTTTGTGTCTTGATCTTGGGAGCTGTAAGTGGCTGGTTGCAGGAATTCACACATCAGCAGTGAAAAGTCATGCGGTTGAGATTTTTTTTCACCCTCTCCTGGTGTTGGGCCCATGCTTCCGGTCTCATTCACCTCTGGGTCTCAGCCCCGCCCCTGGGCCCCTCGCGGTTGCCTGCGCAGGTGCCCACCCCCCTCCCCCCCGCCTCTCCAGCCCAGCCTGGGTCCCCACCGCCCCATCTGAACCGCTGCCTCCATATGCCTTCGTCTTCCCAACTTCCCTCTCCGCACGGTGCCCCTTTTCCAGACAGCGCCTGCTCTGGGCCTGGGCAGGGTGTCTCTGCCTCTACTTGATCACCCCAGGTTGTGGCTTCCACCCAGCCCCTGTCAGAGCCCCAACCCGGTGCCTCTGGGCTGCAGGGTATCAGGGTGGGGGACAGAGAGTCCAGACTGGGGGAGGGGGCCAGGGACAGAGCCAGGCTGCCTCTGTCCACCTCCGGGCCACATCTTCCAGCCACATGGAGCAGCTTTTCTGCTTCACCTTGTGCCCCCGCCACGATTTCCATCTGCCCCTCCATCCCCTCACCTCCCTCTCACCTCCCCCCACTGCTTCCCCCAGCGGCAGCCATAGGCCCAGCTGGCCTCCCATCTGAGGTCTGTGCAGCCTGGTACCCCTGACCGCTGCTTGGCCCCCTCTCAGCTCAGGGGACCAGAGGCAACTTAGAATGTGCTGCTTCTTGGGGTCTTTCTTTTGCTGCATTAAACAAAATTCTGGGGCGCCTGGGTGGCTCAGTGGGTTAAGCCTCTGCCTTCATCTCAGGTCATGATCTCAGGGTCCTGGGATCAAGCCCTGCATTAGGCTCTCTGCTCGACAGGGAGGCTGTTGTCCCCCCTCTTTCTCTGCCTGCCTCTCTGCCTGTTTGTGATCTGTGTCTGTCAAATAAATGAGTAAAATATTTAAAAAACCAAAAAACCCCCAAAATTCCATGCGTCTCTTCTGCAGGCTGGAGTGCAGCCTCGCGGTCATTGCCTACCTGGGTGCACCGCAGCGAGAAGGCAGTGTGGCCCTATAACGTGCACAGTCCTTCTGTGCACTTGCAAACACTCACCCCCGATTCTAGAGCTGTTTCCATTGTAGAAAATTTGGAAAAGTGTATGGAAGAAGACGGAACTCCTCTGTAAACCTCCCTCCCCCCGCTGCTGTGTTGCCTTCCAGCGCTTTTTCTGAGCTCTGCTGACACGGTCTTTGCTTTTCTTCTCTCTCAAGAAATTCATGATCATTGTCGAAAATTGATAGTGAAAACACACGACATACGTCTTCTGCGTGCACCTGGCCCGCAGCCCCAAATACCATCCCAATATTTCTGGAGGACCGGGCTGTATGCACTTTTGCCAACTGCTTCTCTTCCCATGACGCGATCCAGCCCTCTTTCCCCGTCACTAGGCCTCCTGTCCCTGTGCTCTGGGTTTGCGTACACGAACAAGGTTTCTGTACACTACCCTGTGGCTGACTGTCCCCGGCCGGGTCTGTTGGAAACAACACTGCCGTGGACATCCCCATCTTCTGTGTGGCGACACCGGTGTCCCCCAGAATATGTGTGTCTTTGCGTGGGATGCTGCTGGGGTTAGCAGTGTTGCATGCGGGTCTCGGGGCCATGCCCTCCATCTTCACCGTGCCCCTGTGTGTTCTTGGCTTGTAGCTGAGGCCGTGGCCTCGCCGCCATCCCAGAACAACGGAACTACAAGCCCAGACCCCTTCGAGTGCCAGCCCCTGACCTCCACCTCGAGCAAGCCCAGCAGCGCCCGGAAAACACCTGAGTCCTTCCTGGGCCCCAATGCGGCCCTGGTCAACCTGGACTCGCTGGTGACCAGGCCAGCCCCGCCAGCCCAGTCCCTCAACCCATTCCTGGCACCAGGTATGCTCACTTCCTGGGGCTCCCTCTGTTTGTCTGCCCTTCCTGACCACGGGTTTGGGGCTAGCCTCGGGCCTTGACCTCTCCTCCACCTCTCGCCTCTCCTCCGGGGATCTTCCTGCCTTACCCAGGAAGCATGCCCAGAATTCCTGGGCCTCTCCAGGCCTGGGGGGTGGGGCATGAAAGCTGACGTGTGGTTGGGGGAATGGGTGGGAAACAGCCCCTCCTAACCATGGAGACCACTGAGCAGAAGCTGCCCCACACTTCGTGTCCTTGGCCGGGGAGACCCTCCAGCAAGCACCACTTCTCGGTCAGCTGCGGGAGGGCAGCGGCGGGGAGAGGAAGAGCTGGGGTTTGCTGCCCAACATTCCCCTTTCAAGGGGCCCTTTGCAAGGGGCCCACAGACCCTCACTTTAGCCATTTGAGATGCTGGATTCTGTCTTTCTGGGGCTGGGATCCCTGCCCTCCCACCTCTGTATCTATCCTCTCTGCCATTAGGCTCCGTCTAAATGCCTGTTCTCCCCCTGAAAGGCTCTGTGGGCTGCAAGACAAGCCCCCCTGCCCTGGCTTTAGAGTCTGGGGTCCCTGGGGCCGTGGGCTTCCCCAGTGTGTCTCATTCAGGGCGTTCAGTCTGAGAGCCTCCCTCAGACCGTGGAATCTGCCGCCCAGGCCCGCGGCTCCTCGGAGGACCCTGCAGAGATGGACCCCGGGTCTTAGAAGCGCTGAGGGTGGGGACTGTAGCCAGTCCCCGTGGTCCTGAGCAGGGCGAGGACATGGTTGCCCCTCGCTCCCTGGGTGGAGCCGGTTCTGAACCCCATGTCCCAGCCAGGCTGGCTTGCCTGCCCGGGGTCCGCCATCCCGCCACAGGGGGGGCTCCCGGCACCTCCGGGTTGGCTCAGCTCTGGCGGGGCTGCTCTGTTAGGAGCGGCACTGGTGCGGGAACGCCGGCTGTGCCCTCAACGGAGCCTGCCGCCCCCCAGGGTGGGCTGGAAAGCGGGCAACATCTCCTGGGGGAGCCTGAGGGTGCTCCTTGGCGGGCAGCCTGTGTGCTCAAGGGGTGGGCTGCTTGGAGGCTCCGTGCTGGTGGCGCTCGGGGGCTTTGGCAGAGCACCAAAGACGTTTTTGCTAAAAGCTAGGGGAGAAAGCCTTGACGATGTATGGTACTTTCTGGAAACGCTGGATACGACAGAGCTGCCTCCACTTCTTGACTGCAGGGCTTCTCAGAGCCTTAGTCCTGCGAGCCCTCAGGTCCCAGGGTCCAGCGTGGAGACTGGCACTCTCTGGCCGCACGCTGAGGATCCCCGCTCCCCGATGGTGCCCCTCTTTCCCGGACACCTGGGGTCACAGAGCTTGACAGACAGATTAGGGGGGTGGGGCCAGCTGTTTGTTGCTGAGGGAGACCTGGGGGGGCCAGCTCTGAGTAGGCACGCTCCTGGCACTGCCTCAGTCAGGCTTGGTGACTCCGGATGAGCCACTCGGCTTCGAACAGCCTTCGTCTCCTTGACCAGACGCTGGAGATGCAGGCAGGGGGCACGTGTGCCGTGCGTTGGCTGGAGGCCGGGGCTCTGCAGAGCAGCAGGCACTACAAAGTACCCAGTCCCCCAGAGGTGCACACGTGCTGGTCGCCCCGGTCTCCCGCCCTTGGACTTGGGAGTGGGTCTGTTCTGACTCAAGCCACTGCCCCACCTCTCTCCCAGGTGCAGCCGCCGCCTCGGCCCCTGTCAACCCCTTCCAGGTGAACCAGCCCCAGCCGCTGACGCTGAACCAGTTGCGGGGGAGCCCTGTCCTGGGGACCAGCACGTCCTTTGGGCCTAGCCCAGGTGTGGAGCCCATGGCTGTGGCCTCCATGACCTCCACGGCCCCACACCCGGCTCTGGGGGCTGGCGGGTCCTCCCTGACGCCCCTGGGCCCCACCGCAATGAACATGGTGGGCAGCGTGGGCCTTCCCCCCTCGGCAGCTCAGGCCACCGGCACAACCAACCCTTTCCTTCTCTAGTGCCCGGGCCGGGGCCCCACCACGCATGCCCAGAGCCTCCGTGCCTGAGGACGCCGAGCAGGGACTCTCGATTGTGGAATGGTGTCCGAGAGTGGGGGTGTGGGTGTTAGGGCTTTCTAGTTCCGGCTTCCTGATAGAAGGGTTGTCTGCACAGCCCCAAACCTCAGACTCAAGCGGCGGCAGGCCTGCTAGGCGTCAGACATCGGTCTCCGCGCCTTCCGAGGCTGCCCACCCGCCTGTCCCCAGCCCGCTGCCCGCGGGAGGGGCCCAACCCAGTGGCCTCCCCACTTCCTCCCGAGAGCCGAGGTCCTGGTCCTGGAGACCGGCTAGCTCTCCGGGGCCCAGGACAAGGGGGCGGGAGTCGTCAGCGTTGACCTCACCCTGAGCCTCAGCCTGAGGGCCTCTGGGACACTGCCTGGCCTGGGCCTGGGAATGGCCACCACCGTGTCCTTGTGACCCCCCCCCTCAGCCCTAGTGACACCCGAGGTGGTCCCAGGTGTGGATGGAATGAAGCACCGGCTCCGTGAGACGCTGACCTTCCGGGGAAGTGGTTGTGCATATTTTATTTTTCTTTGACTCGTGTGTGAGTTCAAAGCAAACCCCACCACCGCGGAGCAACTCTTAAATTAAATCCACTAGAGCGAGCTTTAAACTAATCTGAGCATAACCCCTGCCACGTGGCTCTATGCTTGTATACGTTTGCACATAATTTGTTTAGTACAGTTTCATATTTGAGTTTGCAGAATTACCTAATAGTCTTTTTTTGGCTAATATTTTTATAACGTGGTTCTTATTTAACTGTCTAGTTTTGATAGAATTTACCAGGTCTGGCTGAATTAAGATATTGGCACGTGTCATGTGAGTGGTTTAAACCCTCTTATTTATGGTTTTAACTCTAAGAAAATTTAAATAGGAAGCAAAAAAAAAAAATGCCTTATGGAAAAAAAAAACTAAAGCAAATTCTTTATAGGGAAAAATACGGGAATTTGATTACACAGAAAAGATGATGTTTATTTAAAAAGAAAAAAAAAAAAACCTACAACAGCAACAACAACAAAAACCCAGCCTCCAGTTGCCTTTTCCTTTCTTTTACTCCCTTTTTTGGTGACTTACCCAACAGATTGAACCACAGCCTTCTGGGCTGGATCCTGAGAGAGGCTGTTTTTCTTACTGGTACACCAACATCAAGTTAAAGGGAAAAAAATCTGATGGATGGATGTGACACACCAGTTTTTATCTGCTAATTCCCTTTTATAACTGAAGGCATGCACGGATCAACAAGGACTTCCGTTTCTGGTGCAAATCGGAACCGGAAGAGGCATCTTGAACCTTGTGTGTCTGTGATCCTCTCTGTCTTAATCCGCACTCAGGGTAAGGATGGGGATGGCGTGGAGACAGCGGGCGTCTTCAGTGCCCACGGCTCCCCGGGGCCGGCCTCCTGCTAACTCCAGACACACACTGCAGACTTAAAATTCTCATCATCTCTTCTTTCTGAGAGAAAGAAAAAAAAAAGTCATTCTCACATGGATTTTTAACAAACATGCACTAATATTACCTCCCTTTCCCAACTCCCTCCTTTCCTCGCCCCATCCACCACTAGAAGAAAAGTATGAATTCATGAAAGAGCAGAAAAGACGTGCTTCTCCCCAGGGAAGGAAGCCCCCCCACCCCGCCCCCGACACACACACCCCCAACCTGCCTCCGGTCAGGTCACCTTGCCTGTGGGCGCTGCAGTCTCGCTTTCCACTGTGGACTTCACCCCAACTCCAAGGGCAGCTGACCCCCTGGTGTTCCTCCGCTTCCCGTGGCCTGTTCTGGGAGGAGGTCGGACCCTGAGCAGGGCACAGGCCTGGAGATGAGCAGGCGGAGTCCCAAACAGCCTTTTCTGGCCTCTCCTGTTTCCTCATTTTAAAAGCTCACCCATGCCGCTCCCCAAGGCTGTCCCCCGGCCAGAGGAGCCACCCCCAGAGCTCCTGACCGGCCATGCCTCTGCCAGAGCCGGAGAGCTGGGGCTGGACCACGGGTTGGAGCCCACTCTGGCCTCCTCCGACCTGGGGGAGTGTGGGGACAGGGTGGGGCCCAGCAGGTGGCTCCCCCCGGGAGGTGCTTTCACTCACATGGTGCGAGCCCGGACCTCTTCACAGGCCAGTAGCCCAGACCTGACTACTGCGTCGGTGATTCTTTTTTGTAAACAGTCAAGAGCCCTTCCTGACTTGACTTCGAGGCCCCAGCATTCTAGCCACTGGGTCACCGAGGCCCCACGAGACCCACTGCGCCCCCTCCCCCCAACCCCTCCTACCCGGGCACAGGCCTGTCCCAGGCACCTTGTCCCTGTTGCCTGCTGCACTGATCATGAAGCTGCCGGCCGCTGCCACTCGAGTGACGCACGTGCCGTCATGCTCCCTCCCAATGGGCACTGGGGTAGGGGGCGCCGCCCAGCTGTTTTCTCAGTCCCAGGGGCCGGTGGCTGGTTTTGAACGTGTGTTGACTATTGATACTTATTTACTGTACAAATATAATTTATCATTTGTATCATGATGCGGTTTCTGGCTGTGTCCTTCCTTGCCCCTGTCTCTGTCTCCCACCGGAGATGGGTGGGCAAGAGCCGGTCCTCGTGCCTGTGTGAGCCTCTGTGGTCAGGGGAGGAGGCTGGCTGGGAGGCAGCCCTCGGGGCACCACGACAGGTGGTCGGCAAGGCAAGGGCCTGGGTGGGTGGGTGGGTGCTCCTCCCCACCCGCGGACTTGGGATCCTGTGATCAGAGGCGGCACCACAGTGGAAGGACAGAAACTCCTTCCTTTCCAGGCAGGGATGGAAGAGGTGTTTGGACAGCAGGAGGATGTACGGCAGAGGCCAGCATGGGGTGGGGAGGGAGGCCTGGGGCGGCCTTGCGGCTTCCCATTTGAGAGGACCCCCCAGCCCTTACCTCTGGGGCCGTCCTGGCCCCCTGGTGGCCCCTCAGGGAGCAGGACTCAACAGGCATCCTGGGGAGGGTTTGCCCCTGCCGGGAGCAGTGGGGCCTGCCACTCCCAGGAAGGAGAGGGGGACCTGTCACGGTGCTCTAGGCTACGCTGCCCTGTCAGTGGCTTAGCCATCCTGGTCTACGCTCACAGAGTCTGTTACCGTGTAGGCTGGCTCTGCTTCTGTGGGCAGTGAGCAGAGTGAGAAGTGTGTGAGGTCTCGTAGGGGGCCAGGGCGGGCAGGGGCTTTGCCTCCCTCATCAGCACCGGCCCCGGGGGCGGCACCTGGGAGCAGGGGTTGGGGGAAATGCAGGCCTCCTTGGTGTCCCGGGGGACGGGAAGTGGGTTAGGGTCACACACGGCTGGTCTCTGCCACAGCTGGCCTTCTGGTCACCAAATACTGATTTCATTTCCCTACACGTGAAGCATATCCTTTCCCCCAAAGGAGGCATCGTAGAGTCTCTTAGAGAATCACAGGAGATCACACATGGCGGTCTTAGGCGACAGTGTTTGGGGATAGTTGTCACACAGCAGCAGATAACAGGCATGCACATAAAATTCTTCCTCGCTGCCTTGCCCCATGCTTTTTTCAGCTTCCTGGTCGCTCCTGTTGGGGCCATTGGGATAATGGTAGGAGTGAGCTTAACTCCTGAAAACTGATGCTTAACCAGGTGGCTGAGTTGCTTGGCCCCATGAGAAGTTTTTACTAGAACTTGAGTGCTCGAAGCATTTTTCCTCTCATCTCTTCCCATTTGCCTTCTGGACTCAGTAGTCTCCTTTCCCAACCTTTCGAGGCCCCCAAAGTTTTGGATTCTCTCTTTCTGTCATTTGGCCTTGCAAACGGGCCTTTCTTTGCCTGAGCTCACTGCCTTCCCATGCTGGCTTTCCAGATGCAGCCCGCAGCGGCCAACCCGCCCCATGCGTCATATCACCTACCCCTGCCTGCCCCTGGAGTTGGCTCACCAGGCACCGAACCTGCCTCCCATGTTGTTGGCACAAGTCTTACCCAGTTTTGTGCTTGCATAATGGAGCTCTCCTGCTGTCCAGCCTTTTCTCTGTGCTCTGCCTGCCTGTCGCCCAGCTGCTAAGCCGATACCACATTCACTCGGTTTGGGTTTGGGTGATGGCAGAAATCCACTCCTGAGTCCAATTTCCTTATCAGACCGGAACGCTCTGCGGAAACCACCCCCAAACGCTCTGTGGCAGAACGCGGTAAAAGTAGCTCCTAAACTGCCCAGTGGAGACATTCCTGGCTGTTCCTGCCGTGTTCCGTCTTCAGGATGTGCTCTCCAGGGTGCCATGGGGAAGGACGGAAGGATCGACCTGGGGAGCTTTCGATCAGACCTCTCAGTGCCGGACAGGCTTTCAACCCACGTTTCTTTGGCCAGTGCTACTCCCAGAGACCCACCTGGATACAAGGGGCCCAGGGAATGGAGTCTTATGAGCATGAGGGGACAGAATGGATGGTGGGGGTTGAACTTGGGGCTGCCCACCTTGACTGTTCTTCAGGTAGATGGTCCCAGGTCTCCACCCCGCTCCCCACGCAGAGTGCCCGCAGCCTCCCAAGTTTCTGTCCTCCTGCCTTGACTGGGAGAGGCGTGAGGTGGCTTTCTGCGGCGACGGTAGCCTTCTAGACCCTGACCGGGCGTCGGGCACACATTGGCCAAGACTCGGTATGGAGTACACTTGAGATCTGTGCATTTCGGTTCACATCCGTGGTCCCACGAGACACACAAATGACGCCCACGAACAAATACGGAGCTCCAGTCGCAGGCACGCATGCCACAACGCCACTGCTGTCTGCGACTTACTTGGAAATGCACTAGAACCAGGCTGGAGGGAAGAAGGGATGAGAACACAAGTGTGGGAAGGTGGCAGACTGCACGATGGCAGAGAACGAAAAGGGGGTGGGGCCACTCCATCAGAGGTGCTGGCAGGCTGGGCCTGACAGGACAGGGGTTTTTGGGCAGCGGCGGGAGCTGGCCGACGGGCATGGCATGGGCAAAGATGGGGGGCAGGGGCAGGGGGGTGCTCAGCCTTTCAGAGCTGCAGGGGAGAGGAGGGCCCAGGTTTGGTAGAGGCCAACTGCATGATCCTGCCAGGTGGGAAGCCCTTGATGGACAGTGGGGGGAGGAGTGGGAGCAACTCGAAGGCATGGGGTCTCCTGGGACTTCAGGTGGGACCACAGCATCTCTAGGGGGCCGGACATGGTGGTGGAACAGAGGAAGCTCCTGTTTTGTTTTGTTTTGTTTTTTTTTAAGATTTTATTTTTTTCAAGTAATCTCTATCCCCAGCTTGGGGCTCAAACTCACAACCCTGAGATCAAGACTTGCATGCTCCGCCAGTTGAGCCCGCCAGGCGCCCCTCTTAGATCATTTCCGTTTCCTCATGAGCCGTTCAGCTGAGGGTGAGCACTACTGGAGATGCAAAGAAACACAAGGTGAGGCCCTTTCTCCGAGAGGTGAGGAGAGCTGGAGGAGGAGAGATGGGTCTGGCTGTGGACTGAGCAAGGCAGTCCTGGGATGGCCACCATGACTGTGCCCTGGCCAACTGCTCGCTGTCACAGGCCCGTGGGGTGGCTAAACAGGGACAGGGGCACAGCAGTGCAGGATGGCAGTACCTGTAATGACCTGTGGATTACAAATCGGGCCAGGAGGAAAGGGAGGGAGGGGCTGATGGGCGGCCCAAAGTGGGGACAAGTTGGGGGGGGGGTCTTGCAGGGCCCTAAGGCCATGAAGGACTGTTGGTGGGAGGACCACGGGACAGGAACCACCAGGAGGGGACGCGGATGATTGGGGGCGTATCTTGGAGGCAGTGGCATCACTGGTAACAAGAAATAGGTGGTGGGATGGGTGGTTGCTGAGGGGCAAGGCCAAGGTCATCGCAGGGGAGGAGGCGAGGAAGAGGTGTGGACGGTGGTAGTATCCAGAATGGCCGGAGTAGAAGCCCCAGGGGAAGGTGGTCAGGTCTTCGGTAGTTGGTCGCCGGCCCCGGGCGTCTGGGGAGCTGGGACAGGGGAGGTGGAAATGCCAGTGGGGGTCCGGACGCAAATCTCGTCTCCAGGCCCAGGGTCCACGGGCCGGGGCATCAGGAGAGGGCCGCAAGGGCCAGTGTAGGCTTCGGCACAGGACCGAGGTGGAGGGAACTCTCCATTCAGAGAAGAGGGTCAGAATCACAGGAATGTTGCTGACGCCAGACCACGAGTAGCAGAGCACACAGGGAGCTGGTTGGCGGCGGGGGGGGGGGGGGGGGGGGGGGGGGGGGGGCAGGGCGCGGGGCCGGCGGGGGCAGGGGGGGAGGGTGGCGAGGCTGGTGGTCTTGAGGCTGGGCGGTGGGGGCTTTGTGGCTCCCATTGAATCGAGCAGCCCCACGCTGGGGATAGAGATTACTTGAAAAAAAAAATAAAATCTTAAAAAAAAAAAAAAAGA